AAAAATGAGGACCTAATGTCGGGGGTTTAAGTGGAGAGAAAATGTTTTGAGAATGATGTACAAAGGTGCTTTACACAATTGATGTGTGTATGGATTGCAATAACAGTTGTATGAGCCCCTAATAAAATGTTTTAAAAAAAAAGAAAAATCAAGGAAAACATTATTTTTAAATGAGAACTTCCAGTTAAAGAACCTTGTGAGTATGAAACATAGTAAAAAATTTAATGATGCTCATCTCTGAGCTCAAACCCTTAGCTTTCCAGCTGCATCAGCTGAAAACCAGGGCTGCTGAATTGTTTGGGGTAAGTTGAATATTGTGCTGATGGCATGGTGGAGGCTGAAATCCAATTCTACTGACGCCTTTATTACAGTACCCTCCCCACTGAAAAACATTTTCCAAATATATTTCCTGGAATCAATATACAGTGACTGTAAATAGCAAAACACACTAGTGATTTCTGAAAGTATAAAAGAAGTAACGTATATATTATTCATTAAGTTAAGAAGCGACATTAAAAATCTGATTAAGAATGGGTACAGGAATGCAGTACACTTCCTACTTCCCTGGGTGAAGGGAGACATCAGTCAGTATAAGACATGAAAAAATAATAATTCATAAATTATCAAGGGTTCATGAGGGGGAGGGAGGATGGAGGGTGGGGAAGGGAAGAAAAAAATGAGAAGCTGATACTAAGGGCTCATGTAGAAGGAACATGTTTTGGATATGATGATGGCAACCGACGTACAAATGTGCCTGACACAAAGGATGCACATATGGATTGTGATAAGAGCTGTACGAGCCCCCAGTAAAATTATTTTTTTAATGTTCTCATTGACCATAACCATGTGTACAGTTAAAAATCAATTCAAATCCAAGTCCTGATGACCCAATTTCTGACTAATGTATTAATATCACCATGGATGTAATAATTTCAAAATTATGAAGCAAACCTTTAAAATAGTCCTAGATGGCAAGTGCTTTCACCAACTACAGTGTTTCTCATCATCAAAAAGACAAATTACCAGAATAACAGCACAGCTTGATGGACTGCCTTGTGTTTCCATCACTCTCTAATAAAAAAACCTTTCCTCCTCCAACAGATTTCTGCCTTACACAAGTTCTGGCTTTGAGAGATTTTACTACTACTTCAAGTTTTGAAAATATAGAATTGAAAACCAAAATTAAAATCGTATCCACTACCAAAAAAAAACAAAAAACACTTTCCACTTCCCAACACGTGGTTTCCACAGAGTGATACCATTCAACTGATGTGATGAAGGAAACTGGAAAGGTGATTTTAAGAACCATTACATATGTGTTTGCCATTTAAACTTTACTGTATAGCAGTAAACTGTTTTTTTTTCACATATGGTTAATTTTTATAATTTTCAACACACCACAAACTGTATTTCATGTAAATATTTTGTATGCCTTTGTAGAAAAGTTACAGGTGTCTCTTACCATCAAAGAAGCTTTTAGTTCTCAGGTAACTGACACTGAGCCTAAGAACTGAAAGTTTGTCCAGCTTATTAATAACATCTTGTGGAAATGGCAGGAGGCTCGCCAAACGGTCCAACTCTGTATTCAGTCGATCTCTGTGTCTCTTGGAAGGGTTTGACTTGATACCTTCCGCTGGGATTGGCTTTACTCTGAAAAACAAATAAAAATTCCTTGAAATAAAGCAAATACATAACATTTTAAGTATTTTTCTAATAAAACTAACATTTCATATCTATCTCAAATTTACATATAGCTTCCTAAAATCTCCCACTCAGATTTTAATCAAGAAAAAACTTGTTCATAATGTTTTGTGAAAAATCTGCAGACCGCATCATGAAATGATTTAAAAAAACACATCAGTAGTGCAGTTGTATTCAGGTAATAACTCTATATAGTGTTTGTTTTTTTCTCTAATACAGTTAGCCATTATTAAGAGAAGGGAAGAATCTAAAGAAAGCAGCAATAAATGATGAACAAAGATCATTCTTCCTTTGCTATCTTTCACAGGGAGCCCCAGCTTCATTTCTGTTGTAGATAAATAGAAGCAGGACTATTGCCTCTATGTGGACTTTAATCATTGCCAGTCTCCTATTTTGCTATATTTTCCTTCTGTTATAATCTCTTAAAGCCATATAATATACACATGTAGCACTTTTTAAAAAGGAATAAATTTTGATTTATATTTGTTGATTTTTAACACTAGAGATTAACTGATTATGGTAAAGTGTGCTTTTATGATTGGGCATTAACTCTCTATCTTTCATAGGTTGTGTCTTCAATAGAAAATGCTAAAAAACAACAACAAAAACCCAACATTGAGTAAGACTATCATCTACCTGAAAGAAAAGGTATTTACAGTTAAGAGTAGAGCATGAGTTTGGAAATGAGGAATTGGACTTTCACACAAATGCCTTAGTCAGGACTTGATAGCAGATATTTATGCTTTAAAAGAAATTTACAGGTTATCAGATACCCATGCTGAAATACTTTAAAAAGCAAGACATTCTCAATATAAATAAAGTCATTTTTTGACAATGACTCTGATACCTTTCTATTAGTAAAAAAAAATAAAAAGACTTATTTTGAGTTTTCTTATTACAAAAGAAATCTGATAGCTGAAATTATATTAACTTTGAAATGATATTAACTTTCAAAGTAGAAATTGGCTTGGGTATGGTGTGATTAAGTTGGTTCAATGAAAACATTTCTACATAATTTATGTCTTCAACATTGTATGTGGAAAAGATTTTATGCAAAAATATAAAAAGCAAATAAGAAGTTTAACAATGTTTTAATACTGTCCTTAACACACACTTTCTTCAGTACATGTCTATTACCATTTTTCTCTTATAATTCTTATGTCTCTCTCTATATACACATAAAGAAAATAAATCAGTAAAGTGGCATATATAAAAAGTCAAGTGTTCCCAGACTCTATCTACAACTGCATACGTAACTGATATGGTTAACAACTACCCTATTTTCCCCCTGATCATATCACCCTGGTAATCAAAATCACACATCAAACTCAACGCCATCGAGTTGATGCCAACTCACAGTGACCCTATTTGACAGGGTCCCGTTCCTGTGAGTTTCTGAGAATATAACTCATTATGGGAGTAGAAAGCCCCGTTTTGCTCTCATGGAGTGGCTGGTGGTTTCAAACTGTGGACCTTGAGGTTAGCAACCCAATGTGTAACCCCTATGTGACGAGGACTCCTAAGTCCACACCTACTTACTACATTTCTCCAATTAACCAACTTTTACTTATAATTCATGTCTACTTCAATGAATATTTATTGGCATCTATAATGCGCTGGATAGTCCAGGTAAATGTCCTTCCAGTAAATATCCAAACATATACTATGGGAGTTTAGAGTAAGTGCTACAAACATTTTTTTTAGAAAATGTCTGAGGTGGTTCTGGAAAGAGGACTAGACTTTCATGGGCTATGTGACTGCGGACTAAGAAGTCCTGACTGACACATGGAGCACAGGGTGGGGAGACTGGGAAGATGGTTGGGAGGACATTCTTCGAACACTACCACGTGCCAGGCACAGAACATTTAGCAGTGGACAAATATACAAAAGCTCCTGTTCTCATGGAGCTTGCATTCCAGTGCAAGCATTCCAAAATAAACAAATAAATAATCCTATAACTTTTCAAGCTGGTAAGTGTTAAGAATAAAAATAAAACACAGTAAGAAACCAATGAGTGACAGTGGTACTTGGTTTTGATATCATAGCCATGAAGGTCTCTGGTGTGATCTGAAAACATGAAAAAAGCACATGTTATTTCACTCACAGACATGAATAACATGAGATGTGAACCATGTGAGTATCTGAAGGAAAAATGTTCAGGGTATTAGAAACAGCAACACCCACAAAAAATGGTAAACTAAAACCTTAGACTTCAGTATCTGGGAGCCATCTTAAATACAAAGCTGGGGATTGACATCGCCAGTCTTGTGTTGTCCTAACTTCAGTGAAGGAGAGGATAGAAGGCAGGGCAGTTATCACTGAAGTTAAGCATCTGAAACAGAAATTTCTCTTGAAATTATAAATCTATGTTATTCTTCTGATTAAAACCTTTCAGTAGTTACCACTGTCTGCATCCTTAGCCTAACAGCAAACCCTTCATGATCTTTCTACGCCTTACCTAGGGCTCAGCTCTAGCCAAAGCCAAAGCTTCCATGTCCATTATACTGCAAAATTATGAAACTACTTATGATTAGAAACATATATTGTGATGTTTTCATACTCATTCGTTCTTAGGCCTCGTCCTGACCCACCCTCTTCAAAATTCTACTACTCATGTAGACTACTGCTGTAAAGCCAGCCCAGGCCCACCTCACAATGAATTAGCTCCTCCCTTCCCTGTACGCTACCTCTGCATCTTACACAACCACTTCACTATGGGGTTTCTAAGCAAATAACATTCCACACAAAAAGAAATTCATAGGCAATCTGGTTTTGCATTTTGATGACTTTCTAGACATGATAATAAAATATTAAGGAGACCAGAATAACACAACAATTAAAGCAAGAGAAGCTACTGTAACACAGGAAGAAGTAACAGTACCAACATGAGAAAGAAGACATATGGTATTGCTGCCCTCCTGTACTGGCCCCTCTGTAGCCTTCATAACTGTACTAAAAGACAATGTTTTTTCACATGATACAAAAAAAAGGCATATCTTAAATGCATTAGTAAGCACCTTATGAAATATTTACCATTAGATCAAATGTCCCTAAGTGTTACGGAATCTCGACTGCATATATTTTTGTCTTTTATTACTACATATATTTAATCATCTTTTTATTCCCACTACACAGCACAATACCTGATACAGAGTTCGTTCTCAATAATGCTTGCTGACCAAAAAGAAATGATCAAAGCCCGACCAATGACAAAAATAGAACAAATTGTCTGGAAGACATTTAAGCACTGTATTGCCTATTGTAGGTCTTGATTTATAGTCCAAGGCTCACTGAACTAAATTAACTTGGTGAATGTATAAAGTAAAAAAATGTATAGAGTAAAAAAATCCAAACTCACTGCCATTGTGTAAATTCTGACTCATAGCATCCTATACAGGGCAGAGCAGAACTGCTTCCTAGGGTTTCTGAGACTATTATTTTTATAGGAGCAGAAGGTCTCATTGTTCTCCCATAGAGCTGCTCGGGAATTCAAACGGCTCACCTTGTAATTTAGCTGTCCAATGCACAACCATCTACTCCACAAGGGCTCCTTGGTAGAGGAGGTAAGGAAGAGACTGAAAGTGAGTGCGGAGAGGTTTCCAATTACTTTGGGAATTGTAGCTTGGGATAACAAGTGTTTCTTGATAAAAGGACTATTGATAAAAGGTCTATCAAACAAGGTAAAACGTGGCTTGAGAACAGATCTTAGTAATATGGACATTTTGGTGTAAGGAAGAAGATGAAGTGTATGCAAAGAAGAGAGGAGACATAAAAATAGAAAAAGAATTATTGTGCAATCTGTTGGCAGTCAGCAGAAACAGCCAACGCACAGGGTTAAAGAAAGTTAGAGCAGAGAAGTACACACTAGACTCGGTCATTCAACACTCCTGTGCATTCCCACTGGTGTCAGAGCTTTACAAGATCAGAATGTTGAAGACAAACAAATGAATCTGCCTCACCTTTGCACCGATTTGGGGAGGGACATTTAGAACCAGTTTGTGAAAATATTTCATATATCTATATATACTGAAGATGCAGAGAATAACCCAAAATAAATCATACTTGCCTTGGGTTATGTTAGTACTTTTACTTTTGTATTGTCTCCAAATCTATACCAAGCTATACTGCCAACCATCTATTTAAATAAAAGCTATGTGTGAAACATAAACATTCCTGTAAGATTATATTTGGGACATCTGGAGTTCAGATATCTCCTGGAATATGAAAGAAATGGTAAGATGCTATCAGGCAAAGCAGTAATTTTATTTTTAAAACCCTAACCTCAAAAGTCCTGTCCCAACCTGTAAATCAAGCTGTTGTGAAATCAAGGCTACAGCTGACTGTAAGCCATGCTCCTGCTTGAGAAGCCCTGCATGCTATAAGTACTGGTGGCAACAGGCCCAGCAACACGTCCAACGCCAGAGGAATGCTATCTTTATAGACTTCTGAGTATCTCCCTCATCAAGTAGTATCTGTTAAAAGCAAAGCTGAAGAAACTAACCCAGTTCACTGGGAAAAAAAAAAAAAAAGGAATGTACTTGTAAACTTTTGTATGTCTATGTGATGTCATGAAATCCCATGAAGATATACAAAGATACAACAGTTTCAGTAAACCTGGGAGATTAAGAGGTTACCAAACAAGAAGATACCTATGATAAAACTGAGAGGTATTATAATTATTTTTCCCTTGGGTGACTGAATCTTTTCCCACTGCTTCAATCTATAAGTAGCCCTCAAATTACAACATACTCCAGTTATTCACATTTTCCAGAGCTGTCCTTATGACCCATTTATGACAGTTGGTTTGTTTTTATATTTTATTATTAATATTGCAGCAGGTGATCTGCCGATCTCATCATTGCACCTATAAACAATATTGCAGCAAGTGATCTGCCGATCTTTATCATTCTCAGATGCATTGTTTCCAACCCCCAAAGACACTGGAGAAA